GGAGTCTAGCACCCCAATAGCCATACCACCTGTCGGTCTGTCGACAACAGAATATCTTTAAAGCCCTCTGGTAGCTGAAAACTAGTGCTTTCAGGGAAGAAGAGAAGTGAAGTTTCTCTGCTGAGAACTCTCCCTCCAGATCTCTCTTGAGTGCCTCCACACATTGAGTGTCTAAACAGGTCTAAGTGAGCCAGAGGCAAACAGCTGACGACTACTAGGGTCCACACTTCCCTCCATTCCCACGGAATCTGCCTCACGAAGGGAGAAAATCAGGACAGCGACGGCATTGCAGATCGCCTCCCCCGCACGCCGCTGAAAGCTCAGATTGAACGCCTAGAGATTAGGAAGAGAGGTATAACCCATCAGGTGACCAGAAATCACCACAGAGACACAAGAAATATGAGAGACCAAGAGAATGCTCCCCGCCCAGAGAAAAGAGTAACTCCTCTTCATCCACAGACAGTACAACAGAACGCATGGAAATGGCTGATAAACAATTTAGAACATTCATAGTGACGAAGCTAACAGAGATGCAAGAGAAGAGAGACAATGAACTCCAGGAGAGGCAGGAAAAAAGAGCTGATGAGTTCCTGGAGGTGAGGAAGTTCTTGCATGGTCTGAAAGAGGAAACACACACCATAAAAAAATAACCAAATGGAACTGTTAGAGATGAAGCTGAAATACAGGCCAAATCTCCCCTTGGACGTGTTAAAAGCAGACTAGATCATACAGACAATCGAATCTCAGATGTAGAAGAAAGAATCGCTGACGAGAAATCTACCACTAAGTCTGAAAGAATAGACCCCCAAATGAGAATATACGAGAAAAACTAGATACCACAAAACATCCAAATATCCTGGTAATTAGCATCCCAGAAGGTGAGTAGACTAAGAAGGGAATTGATCATCTATTCCATGAAATCCTAGAAGAAAACTTTCCAAACCTAGAGAGGCACTCAAAGATCCAGATCCAAGAAGTACAAAGGACCCCACATAGAATCAACCCAAGAAGATCTTCTCCAAGACACATTAGAGCCAGGTTGACCAAAACCACAGACAAAGACAAGATGCTAAGATTGGCAAGAGAGAAACGGCAAGTGACCTACAAAGGATACTCCATCAGTCTAACAGCGAACCTCTCATCAGAAACAAGGCGAACAAGGAAAGGACGGGACAACATATTCAAGGTGTATTGAGTAAAAACAATTTCAACCAAGAATACGGTACCTGACAAGATTATCCTGCATATGGGAAGAGAAGACACGACATTCTCCGATAAACAGCACCTGAAAGAATTTGCTGACACCAGACCAGCCCTCCAGAAGTTCTGAAGGGAGTGCTATCTCAGGTAGACTAAATACAGGCACACAGAAACAAGGGTTCAGAAATGACTAAGAAAATGACCATCTTAACGTAGGAACGGTGCAGAGCGGAATGTTACCTCCAGGATGTAAACGGGGAGACCGGACCACAGCAGAAGCCAGATGACATACAAGAGACGGCGCTGGTGAGGCAGAACGGCACGGCTTCTGACTAAGCGTCACTCATCTTCCATGCTTAGTTGTCCGGAGTTAAGGAGCTCTGTCTTCTCTCGAGTTGTGGGCAGGCCCTGGACCTACCATTTGAACAGAATCCTAACCTGTTTCCTGGCTTTAAGTCTTAAACACGGTTCTCTTAACATTGCCTTACTTTGATTTATGAAAGCTAAAACTGCCTTTCTTTAAATTAAAAAATACATTTAAAAACTACCTATTTAATGACCACAGTAAGCTCTCTAGCCTCAGCTTGGTGCTACTTCATAGTATATTCATTCTACTCAGAGTTTCATGCCTCAAGTCAGACATGTGTTCACAGATGAAGATCTGAAGCTTTAGATTAGCTAAGATACCTTGTGAATCAATAAAATTTTGGGGGGAAAAAAGGAATGGAAAGCAACTGCAGATACCAGAGCCAGGGTGGGAGGAGGGTGGGAAATGGCTGAGAGTGAGAAATAGGGGGGAAAATAAGTATGTATGTATAAAAACAAGAAATGGAAAATTATTTGTGGCTGATAATTTGGAGGATTGAGCCACTACACACTGTATTCTGGGTGGGAAATCACATATTATAAGCTGTGATGACTTCAGTGAATGAATGCTAAATGAATCTATTTTTAAAAATAAATTATAATAACACAAAATCGAATAAATAATGAAAAGAAATAAAAGGCAAGGTTGCAGAGCAAAAGGAGGAAAACCTTTAACTATGAAAATAAACTGAATAGTCTCAGCTGAACTGTCAGTGCATACACCAGCACCGACCCCTGCAGGTGGAATGGGAGCTTCAAACAAACAGGAAAAAGCCCAATCTCAAGGGTCCCAAGGGCGAGCTACGAGGTGAGGAACCCGAGTGCACAGAGCGCGTATGGGGGCGGTGTCGCCTTGGCGGAACTAACTCAAGTACCGCGGAGACGTGCCGTGAGCCTGCCGGGGAGCGCAGGCGTGCCAAGCACCGGTGATGCGTGCCCGCGGTGAGCTCAGTTATGGCAGCGGCAGCGCCACTTCCGGGTGCCAGACGGCTCACTTCGCCAGGCGCTGTCAGCCAGGGAATGATCCGTGACTGTCAGCGGTGAAGGAAGTTGCCTGTGACGCTGTCGATCACGCCCCGGAGTCGGATAGCAGCCCGGGCGGCAGAAGGCCGCGGCGAAGGTAGGGGACGGCCTTCCTTCCGTCAGGCGCGCAGGTGAGGGAGTCTACACTGGGAGGACCCGGTAATGGCCTGGTAAGATGTCACAGTGACCATGAAGCATCAAGGGTGGGACACGCTGCCATTTAAAACCTCTGCTAAACAAACTAACCCGCGGTAGGCAGATAAAATGTAAGAAAACACACCAACGCAGGACCAAGGGTCTATTTCCAGTGGCAACATTATAGGCCATTTTTCTAATCTTATGCTCTGCCACGCCTCCCATTAAACACCTATGTAAAAAAACAGACCATTGTTTGTAAGTGAAGGAAGGTGCCAGCATCCGCCCTGTGCCCCGCAGCGCTCCACCTCCCACGGAAAGGAAGCCTGGAACAGGCAGATAAAGGCCGAGTGCACGGTTAGCCATTCGTACATCTGTACCTCGCGCACATGGGCCCCAGACGACAGAGGCCGCCCCCGGGAAGCCCGCCCTGGTTTCCACAGCCAGGACCGGGCGGGCAGGGCGGGCGCGGCTGGGAGGAGGACTCTGACCAGGTAAAAAGCAGCCAGGCTTGGGCCGGTGACCGCGGCGACGTGCTCCCTCCCCGCCCCCCGGGGGGCTGCGTCTCACAGGGCAAGGGCTCGTGAGCGTTCAGACACCCCTGGGTTCTTGACAACCTTTCTGAGCTGCCAGGTTCCTGCAGGCCATCCCTGCCTCCACATGACAACTGCACATGCACACATACACACGCGCTACCAAACACAAGGCCAACGTGAGCAGATCAGGCCACACGGGCACCCTCCGGGCCACACTTGGTCCTTGGCTTGTGCTAGGGGGTGTGGACGCCAACGCTCTCAGTTGGGCAGGTGTCTGGTTGTTATTCCAAAGTGATATTGGGGAAGAGACCAGATGCTAGTGAGGCAGCCCTGCGGCCCTGCAGAAATTGGAGCCTGGCCTGAACGAGGGCGCGCTGGCCTCCCAGGCCCGGCCCGTACGCCACACTGCCCCCGTGAACCAGCCCCCTCTTGGCTGCACTCTGTCCTGGACCCCCACTGACAGCGGCGCTCAGACGGGAAAGGGCTGGTGGGAGGTGAGCCACCCTGCCGAGCCACGGCTGCACCTTCCCTGCCGGGCTGCTCTGGCACAAGCTGCTCCCGGGGAGGGCTGCTCCCTTTTGTGCTCAGCAGAGGCGGTGGGAGCCTAGCGGGAAGAAGTGCTAGAGCACTGGGCGGTAGACCTTGTCCCTTACCGGGGGTCAGCTCATGCCTGCAGTCCTGCCAGAGGTGTACTCACACGTGCCCCAGCCGAGCACCTCCTCCCAGCCCCAAGTCCCCAGGCGTGGCTACGGCCATGTGAGCTAGGGCCTCAGCAAGACCGCTGAGCACTGCTGGTTCTCATGAACCCGGAGCAGGCCGGTCCAGCGCGTCTGCACAGGGCCAGCATTCCAGAACACAGAGAGCCTGTCGGTCCACACTGGGCATGACAGCGGGACTCTGTCCCCAAGCACAGCCCCCGGCAAGCAGCACCCACACAGGAGCCAAAGCCTGGGAATCACCCACCCGCTCCATGCTGCAGTCCCACAGCACTCAGCCTGAGCGGAGGCCGCAGGTCCCCACCCGAGGCTGGTCGGAGCACCCGTGCGAGGGTCCTCCCAGCTGTGCGTCTGCAGTCAGAGCGCGTCCACGGAGCCCTTCCCCGACCCGGTGCCTGCTGCGCTGTCACGCCGTTTACAGGGCAGCTGCCTTCCACGCCACCTGCTCAGGGGTGTGCAACTGTGCACACGCGAATGCAGATGTGCAGATGGTCAGGACCCGGATGGCCCGGCTCCTCATAATGGATGCTCCTTCGTCAGCATTAGCCCTGCTCCACCCTCCCCAGGCCTCCTGAGAGCTGCCCGTCATGGACACGCGCTCCCAGGCTGCCCTGGGCGTGACCACCTGGGCCCTGGGCTGCAACACCCCTGGGCCTCGGAGCTGGGCTGTGTCCCAGTCTAGACACAACACGGCGGCTTCGTGGACCCTCCGTGCACAGGACCCCGCTGGGACTCTGACAGGCAGCAGCGCGCGGCCCTGCAGCCCCACACGGTTCCCAGGCCCCCAGTCACCTGCTCACTCAGCACCTCCGAGTCGTCCTCCCTGCCGCGGGGCTGACCCCAGCAATACACATGACAGGTGGGGCGTGTCTTCCTGAGCCACCCTCACCCACACCCAAGTCTCCGATTGAGAAAAACACGCCTATCCTAGTGTTTAAAGCGTTTTTTGCTTTGCTTCGTATTGTTTACATTGGCTTGAGGCCTAGAAGGCTGAGCAGAGATTTGAAAGGCGTTGTAACAGTACCTGAAGAAGTCCAGGAACGAGAACCCGTACCCGTGCTGCTCGGCGATCCCTGCGCAGACCACGTTGGCCGAGGCTCCGATCAGCGTGCCGTTACCTGGGCCAGAACGTAAAACCCAGTCAGCTCGGCCGCCCTCCTGGCACACGGGTCACCCCTCAGCCTCCGGACGGGAGAGCACTTCGCAGGCACCATCGGCGTGATGACCCCGTAAGCACCTGGAAACACACACTCACGCTCACGCTCACATACACGCTCATGCTCACGCTCACACTCACACACACACTCACACTCACACTCACACACACACTCACACCCTAGCAACCAGAAGACTCAGAAACGCCTTGTGAATAACCAGGATGAGTCTTCTTCAAACGATGAATCGCCCCAAATTTACTCAGCCAGTGACGTTTCTGTAACCACGTGGGAGACCGGATGGTGGCACAGCAGCAGTACAACAGCCTGTGTCACTGGGCCCACGTGGAGCGGCCCAGGTTCATGTCCTGAGCCCTGCACGTGCCAAGCCCGCACACGCGTGCGTGCCCGTGACCTGGAGCTGACTGCGGCTGGGGTGGAGCATGGCGTGAGGATCCTCTTGTCGTCTCTCTCTCTCACGGAAAAAAAGAAATAGAAGTAGGAGCCAGCAGGTGGCGTGGTAGTTAAGGCACTGGACTCCCACACAGCCAACCACGGTTCAAGTCCTGGACCTGGCAGCTTGCTTTCTCACGTTCCCTCTCTGTGGGGAACACACATGCCCCGCAGCAAATGTAAACATAATCGTAATGACAAGTCGTAGTGATGTCCAGTGACTGAATGTGGACAATAAGTAAAAACAAAAACAAAGAAGCTATGAAACAAACAAAAAATAAATAGCAATGATAAATAAAATTAAATAGTTCTTTTTAAAATAAATAAAAGCAAACATTAAAATTTATTAAAAACTTCTACTTAAAGTGTTCTTCAAGATGCCGAACCTTGGGGAGCGGGGAGCTCCTGTCGGCACTCCCCGTTTGGGGTGGAGCACCAGGAGCTGGGTGGCGGTGGTGGCTGTGCGTCATGCGGCTGAAACTCGCTCACCGGCGTGTACACTTAAAAATGGTCAATGGGACCAGCAGATGCATAACGGCTACGTCACTGGACTCCCACGTAGTCGACCATGGTTCAAGTCCTGGGCCCGGTGGCTTAAAACTCACACAGTGTGCGTGTGTGCCCCAAATCCAAGAGAAGAGTGATGGAGAAGGGACTGTGGCATGGCCACCTCCCGGCTTCTAGGAAGGCTGGGGATTCACTTCCACAAGCCAGATGGGCGCGCCCGGGGCCCTGGCTGCCTGGGAGAACAGGATGGGTGGGGGAGGGCCGGTCACAGCGTGACAACAGTTGGGATGCTTGCTTTCTCTCATTCCATCTCCCATTCTTGTTAAAGAAAAAAATGTCTAAGTTTAAACTATTAAAAAGGTCATTTCATGTACATATTATGTATACTTTACAATTTTTTAATGCCAAGTGCTGGGGCGATGCAGGAAAGGTCCTGAAGGGACACACAGAGCTGGCCCCCAGCATCCCTGGGAGACCAGAGCTGCTCAGCTGGGAAGGTCCCAGGTCTTAAGCCTGTACCATCCGCAGCAGCTCTGTCCCCGCTTCCAGAACGCGCCCCATCGGTAAGTGCGTAACCCTCGCCAGGTTACTAGCCCATAAACACTATCCACGTCAGCGTCCACCCCTGCTGAGCCCTGCCAGGGACCCCACGTGTTCTGGGGAATTCGGAAGCAGCCCCTCCAGTGTCTCAGGCACCCGGGCACGCGAGGCCTGCCCCCTCGGCTACACCTGTCTCGGTGACACCGTCACCACGGGGAGCAGGGGTGGCGAGTAGCCGTCTAGCACGACGTCGGGCGACCAGGTGCTCCAACGTTTGCGTGAGCTAAATCTGGCACAGCGAGTCACACGCCGCCAGGCCCTCGGACCCTGTCTCCACTGCGATGGCCAACGTGGCGCAGACAGGGCAGGGTGGGGCGCCTGCTGTCTGGGGCCTGTTCTTACCCAGCAAGCTCCACGCCCACACTCAGACAGCTCGGGGCCCCAGCCGCCGAACTAGATGAAGCCAGATAATTCTCCAGGAATTACAGACCTTCACTGGGTGATGGCCCCCGTCACAAACGAGGGAAGCTAGCCAGGGACTTACCGATTTAACCGTTGAGGACCAACCAAGAATCAAAGGAAGCTGGGTTCAGTTAGCATGCCCCGGGGACAAGGACTGCAACCCCACACGCAGCTGGTATGCTGGTCTAAGACCCACACGGTCCTCGCATCCCCGCGGTGACCAGCCCCGTGTAGGCAGGGCTCCAGCTGGCCTCCCCAAGACGGCCACGCCCAGAGCCCCTGGCCCTGTGCCCAGAGGTCAGGTTCTCCTGTTTCTGACTCGTGTTCCAATTTCTCCAAAGCACCCCCACCCCCAGCTCCCCAAAAAATCTTTACTTTCTTCCTCCTCTTAGGTACAGCCTTTACAGGAGGGTCTTCAAAGGGCTCCCAGGAAAAGGCCTACTATGGAAAAGCAAGGCATATATTCCTAGGGTTTTGCACCAAAGGAAACTGGTATTTAAATTCACAGCTTTCGGAGCACCCCGCCCTTGTCTGCACACCACTGGCCGCGTCTCCTGCACTGCCTATACACACAAGCCTCCTGAGGAGGGTGAGACAGGGCCGGCCCGTGCTGCGGGGTTAAGTGCAATGCCTGGGAGCCTGGTCCCAGTGGCTGACCGGGGTTCCAATCCTGACCCCAGTGGTTTGGAAAAGACATTGGGCATGCCCAAAATCGTGGCGGTGTGGAGAAATGGAGGAGAAGCAGTGTGACCACGCCCTGCTGAGGGTGCTCTCTCCCTCTCGTTCTCTCGCTCTCCGGCAAGTACATGTGCCCTCAGGCAATTTTAAAAATTATCCTTCAAAAGGAGAATAAGATAAAGAAAAAGGAGGACTGCAGCTGGGCTGGCGTCCGACTCACAGTCCGGGCCCACGCGGGGTCCCCAGGAGGGAGCGCATTGTTGTGCACGGTTGGGGCAGCAGAGCTCAGGCCGGGGCCAGGGCCCGGTCTGTCAGAGCAGCTGCTGCCAGTGCAGAGGCAGTGTTCACCGAGGTGCGGGGAGCGCCCGACGCCCGGTCACAGCAGACAGGGCTCCCCTCGGGGAACCGTCGGCCTGGGGCTCCAGCTCTGTACCGGGGCGCCCCCCTGTGTAAGCAGCACCCCTTACCTCCCAAGCAGGCGCCAAGGGCCAGGGCGTACATGAGTGGCGGCACGGGCAGGCTGACCTCGGGGTCTTGGCTCAGGTTCAGGAGCACGGGCATCTGTGGGGAACAAGGACATGGGACTCAGAGGGGCTGCCACAGGTGACCGGCCTGCCAGGCCCTGAGCACCTCGCCGCTGCCCCTGGGGAGTACGGCTTCACGGACGGAGACCAGCGTGAGTCCTGGGGTCCAGGAGCTCCTGACCCCACACCCGTCGGCAGGCTTGGATGCCAGCCTGGGGCAGCTGGCCCTCCGAGTCCTCGGCCACCCACGACTGTGACAAGCCAACCGACAGGTCAGACTCTCCGTGGGCGCGGCCTCAGTCACTGCTCAAGTGGAGCCTGGACCCAGCTCCTGACCCCAGCCACTCGCTGGGACACCTGGGCTAAACTGCTCTCACCCCGCAGCTGCAGTCACCCGCACCGTGGAGGGTCAGCGTGGCCATGGTGTCGGATCTGACAGCTCTGGGTCAGCGCCTTTGCAGGTCCATTCTGCCCACCCCTACCCCCGTGAACCGAGACCCTCGCCCCTTCCACGGGATGCACGGAGTTCGGAGGGCGGCTCCCACCAGGAGGGGAGGAGCAGAGCGCTTCACACCGGCCCGTACGGTCTCGTTTCTTAACTAAAGGGTGCGCCCGTGGCCTGCTGGTTAGGGGGCCAGACCCCGCACAGCCAACTGCGAGTCGAGCCCAAACCTGGCAGCTAGAAAAACGTGCCGGGCGAGTGTGCGCCCCGATCCCAGGACAGAGAGGCAGCTCCCGCCCCCTCAGGGAGGACGGGGTGGGCCCCACGGCCAGCCAGGAGCCAACCGCAGTGTCCCTGGCCCCTCTCTGCCCCCCTGGCTGGCTGTGGGTTTTTTATTATTTAGAGATTTTTACTATAGGGCATATGCACTTACCAGAGAGACAGAAAGCAAAAAAATCACCCCCTGGCAGGGACGGCCACCCCACAACCCCTTCTCCTCCATTCTCCTCTCAGGATTTTGGGCACGCATCACACAGGCTCAGTGTGAGTTTTAAGCCACCGGGTCCAGGACCAAACCGCGGTCGACTATTGGAAGTCCAGTGACGTAACCACTACACCATCTGCTGGCCCCACCTTCTAAAAAGAGACCTCCCGGGCCGGCAGGTGCAGAGATTAAGCCACTCGGTCCCACCTGGCCAACTGCACTTCGAGTCCCAGACTTGATGGCTTGAAAATCACACCAACCGCATGTGTGTGCCCAAAATCCCGAGAGGAGAACAGAGGAGAAGGGCTTGTGGCATGGCCATCCCCCTGGGGTGGGGGGTGTGATTTCTCACTTTCCCTCGTTCTGTCTCTGCCTCTCTCTGGCGAGCACACGTGCCCTATAGTAAACTAAAAACGTTAGAACTTCCTCTTACTCTTAGGATAAGTCCTGTGGGCCCCGGGCCTAGTGGTTAAGGGAGCTGAATGCACGTGACCAACTGTGCCACCTGAATCCTGGGCTTGGGAGGCATGCCAGGCATGTGTGTGCACCCCGAATTCCAACGGTGAAGAGAGGAGAGGGGTCGCAGCGTGACTGCTCCTGGGGGCGCTGTCTCCCACTCTCTCCCCCTGTGGCAAGCAGACATGCCCTCTGAGAACTCATTAAATACAGCAAACCCTGCGGCAGAGAAGCCAGAGTGCCCACAGTCCCTCGCTTTGGTGGCGGACATATGGGTGTTTGCGTTTCCATCCTCTGAGTCCCTCGATTTATTTTTAAAGCTACATTTTACATCATCGTCAAAATTGGCAGCATGACGTGCAGAAAGCATCCTGTTTTTAGAAGATGGAGCAGCCCGAATCCCTCACCAGCCCCTCTCCGGCTTGGTCCCAGGAGGGGTCTGGGTCCCACACCTCGAAGCCCCCACAGAAGGTGGGACGGTGGCTGTGAACTTGCGGGCCAGGGGGGCCCAGGAAGGTGTGAGGCCGTCCTGGACCCTGAGACAGAGCGATGCTGCCCCGGGGGGCCCTGCGGGTGCAGGAGCACTGGGTCTCCTCTGGACTCGGACTCCTCTGGACACGGCCGTGCTGCCTGGGCCCAGGACTCGGCGGCCTGCCCGGGCGTGGGCACAGTGGTGTCCTCTGGGCCAGAAGATCGGGGCCTCTGGGCAGCGGCCGCACAGCTCTGACTCGGGAGTCACAGAGCCCCAGCCCCAGGGCGGTGCAGCTGCCAAACCTCGGCCCCAGCAGGAGGACAGCAGCCAGGCGCCCTGAGGGCCAACCTGGGCAGCGGCCAGGGATCCAGGCTGGTTCTGGTATGAACCAGGAGGCCCCCACCCCCAACACTGCTGCTCTGGTCCAGAGACCCCACGGTTCCCCATACCCTATTGACTGATGGCATGCCCTGGGAGCCTCCTCGCTGGGCTGTCCTGTAGGGGCAGAGGGCTACAGGGTCTCAGGAAAAATGGGGAGCACCCCCAGCCCCCCACCATGAGGAGGGCTCCCATGCCCGGCTCACTGGCCCTCAGGCTGTGACGGGACCCCAGCTGCTTCCAGGCAAGGTCCTGCCCTGAGCCGGATGACCAGCGACATCTGAGACACCAGAAGGGGCCTCGGCCACTCTGGGGGTGCCTGTAACTGGGCTCCAGGACACAGGGGTTCGGGGCCACGAGGTTCCCAGTCCCGCCTGGATCAAATACCAGGCCACGCGGGCTGCTTGGAACTGGCCAATTCCTGGGACCAGCACATGGACTTCCATGTAGTCAACAGCGGTTCGAGTCCCAGACCCAGAGGCTTAAACTCACACCATGTATGTGCATACCCAAAATCCCAAGAGGAGAATGGAGAAGAAGGGATTGCAGCGTGGCCATTCCTCCGGGGGTGATTTCTCACTTTCTATCTGTGTGTGTGTGTGTGTGTGTGTGTGTGTGTGTGTGTGCGCGTGTGTGTGTACGGATGTGCCTAAAGCTTCCCAAATGATCCTGATGCACAGCGAAGATTAACTACTGGCCCAGAAGTATTGTTTTAAGTGCAGTATTTGTGATACAATTGAGATTGGAGTCAGAAACCTACTTTGGTGATTTAAGGGTTCCTGGTGGCAATAAAGACCTGGTAATAGCGTATGTTTTTGTGACCCAAGTGAGAATCCTGGTTCTGTCACTTATTACATGTGGGGTCTTGAGCAAATTGCTTATTTAACTGAACCTCAGTATTTATACTGGTAGATTGGAGATAACATCAATTTAACAAGAGTCATTGAAAGGCTTAAGCAGGAGGATGTACATATCAATGAATTGTCCAGGACAAGTCACCATTTATCCACCATTTTCTGCAAGTTTGTTGGGCTGTGTACCACAGAAACAGTGAAGATGTTTAAGACATTCATCACATCTGCATATACAAAATTGGGAGATGTAGCTGATATGACAGAGGTGAGAATCAAGACTTGAAAAGATTTTGATTGGCTGGAAGGAGGGTCAACCATTGCAACACAAGTACAAATGTTTAAACTTAAATACTTTTAAAAGTTTTATTTACTTTATTCATGATATAGAGCACATGGGAAAAGAGAGAGAGATAGAAAG